AGCTCTAATCCTGTTTCTCACAAGCGGGCCAAGCATGTTGAACTAGATTATCATTTCCTTCGAGAACTTGTTATCACTGGCAAACTTCGTACACAATATGTACCCTCTCATCTCCAAGTTGCTGACATCTTCACAAAGAGTATTTCTCGACCTCTTTTTGAATTTTTCAGATCCAAGCTTCATGTTCGTTCAAATCCGACGCTCAGCTTGCGGGGGGGTGTTAAGGATAGTTGACCGTTCATTAAGGCAAATATCTAGATATTTGCCTTACATTACGGGTTACCATATTTTCTCTTTTACTAAATGCAAATATATTGTATTCATTTATTATTCTTTCCTTTTATCGCTATTTCCTTATTATTTGTAATTTACCTTATTTCTGTATTCTGTAAATGATTATAAATAAGAGAACTCTCGCCACCATTTGGGTGTGGTGGATTAATCAAACATTCACAAAAACAAAACTAGCGATCAAACCAACTATGATTAAAGTCTCGTTTGATGGTCATTTAGTTTTTGAAAATTAACTCTAAAACACTGCTTAAAAAGAAGTTTTGTTTTTGAAATGTATAAGTATGTTCAAATGATGAGAGAATCTGACTGATTATCTAACCTAGACCATAAAGATTGAGTTGAGTTAAAATTGAGGGTAAAAAAAGAATTAGTAAGGAAGCATATTTTCCACGTCATCAAACGTCTTCATATTAATTGTACAATATATATAAATATATATATATAATATTTTAAAAATTAAATTAAATTTTTTGAGTTAGAAGGGTTAATAAAAAAGTAGTTTGATTGTTTGCATAATGGAAAGAAAGCTAAAAGGCCTGAAAGTACCCTTAACTTTGAACTTTCTCCCTTTTTTGCCCTTTTTCCACACAGCTTCAACGCCAAGACGCACATCTAAACGCATTACAAAAAAAAAAAAAAAAAAAATAGGATCTTTTGATGACTTCAAATCATTTTTCCAAATATAGCTTCTTTCTTCTTTACTCTTCTTTCTTTGTGTTAGGGTTCATCATTAGGGTATTCTTCGCGACTATTTTATAAACCCGACCCTAAAACAATGGATCAGAGGTTCGAATCCTTCACTTAAACGATCGACCATATCGACCATAGCATGGTTTGCAAATCTTTATCCAAAATATGAGCCAATTGGGCATCTGGACATGCATGGGCTTGATCTTAGGAAGCCCATTTGTTATCCAGACATGGGCCGAGGTCCAAGGATGTTTGGTCGAATCGACCGACATGTAAGTGTAGCCTACAGCACCAGTTTCCGACAAGACCGAGTGAGACTGTATACAGTTACTGAACACCAGATCCTAAAAGGGACTGTGAGGTAAGATTTGGGGAATCTCATTATGGACCCCTTCGGTCTTAAACTCCTTTGACTACTAAACAGTAAAATTTTTTTAAGTGTTTTTGTAACAGTTAGATCAAAACTTACCGCTCGTCGATATTGTTTGATTTGGCGTGTTATGTATTGTTGTCAACCGTGTCGGATTCGAACTTGTGCATAAAAGTTCTATAATTCTATCTAATTACCACTCTGCCAAATACACGAAATTCAGAGCGTTACAGATAAAGATGATGTGCAGTTCATGTCCTCTTAGCTTGTCTACTCAACTAGTAGACACTACCCAACATGTCCAGTCTCACCCATGCTAACCCCCAACATAGACGATCTGTCTTGAAACATATCTACTGAAATATGTTGTTCTTGTTCGACAATCCCACAATTTATGTTGTTTCAAATCTCTCCCATACATACTATTCATAAATTCAAAGTGTTGTTAGTTTTTTTAATTTTGGAGCAAATATTCGAACTTAGCATCCTACCACTAGATATATGACCTATTAACATAAAATATGGAGAAAATATTTGTAACAGCTCAAACCTACCGCTAGAAAGTATTGTCTTTTTTAGATTCTCCCTCTCGGACTTCCTCTCAAGGTTTGCCAGAAAGAAGTTTTCACACTCTAATAAACCGTGCTTCGTTCCTCTTTCCAACCAATGTGGGATCTCACAATCCATCCTATTTGAAGCCCAATGTTTTTGCTGACACTCGTTCATCTCTCCAATCATGAGATCTCACAATCCATCCAAACTTTCTCACTGACACTCGTTCCTCTCTCTAATCGATGGAGATCTCACAATCCACCAAACTTTGGAGCCAACGTCCTCACTGACACACAGTCCAATAGACCTCCTTCAAGGTTCAACGTCCTAATTGCTACTTGTTTGTCTCTTCAATCTATGTAGAATCTCAAGGAAGGAAAGTGAGGAAAAGACCAATCTTGAAAGCGAAAAACGGTGTAGAACAACAGTGATTTGAATTATTTTCATGCAAAACCCAGCAACGACTACCAACAACATTATTGTAGCTTGATTATTTTATCCACAAGTTTTGATAAAAAGAAGTATTATTTAGAGACAGATTTATCGAGAACGTAAACCCCAAATAAATGCCATATTCCAACTACGAATACTTAACGGTCACTGCTTCCTCCTCCTTGGACTCATATGCCCAAAACTTTTTAAAAAAACAAAACCAAAACCCAACATGATTTCATTTTTATACTCATGTTTTTCACTTTATGTGCACTTTTTTCGACAAAATTAATTATTTTAGGCGTAAAAGACATTAACAAAAAACACAAAAGAAAAAAGGTTCGCAAAATCCTATGAATCCGCCATGGCGCCACCACCATGTTTTTCTGAAAACTTCAGCTCAGAGAAAGGAAGAGGGCATTATTAAATCACTGAGCCAAATGAAAAATGAAAACTTGGGGGATTGCAAACGACGAATCAGAAACCACGACATTAACGGCTACAATGGAGTGTACAGAACAGTGAGCTAGCTCTGGAAGCCACGTGACCAAACACAGAGACACAACCAAACCCAGAGCTGACTTGTTGTTGCTGCTTTGTTTTTTGTCGTGTTTTGGAGTGAAAAGACCCTTTTAGCCTCCCAACACAAAAAGTGGAAAAGCATCGGCTTTCGCCCACCCAAGCCATAGCCTCTGATACGATTAGGATACTCTCTCCCGGGGCCTGCTTGCTGTCCAAATCGTTGACTGTTCGTTTCTGATTTACCAAATCAATCATAAGAACAAAATGAATGAAAGCCAAAAAAAGAAGACTTTTAATTAAACAAGAAGAAATTACATTCATAAAATGTTGAGAAATGGAATCATCGAACCATGGTTGGGTTGGGTTGGGTTGGTTTCGTTTATGGTTTACGCCGGTGACGGTTGGGAGGTGGGATCAGCAGAGGAAGGGATGTCTGGTCCGACACGACATCCTTCGAGCATGAAAACGATATCCGACATGGCTGGTCGATCGCGGGGATCGGGTGCAGTGCAAAGTAATCCAACTTTCACACCAAGCAAAAACTCTTCCCATTCAGAGGATTCAGGATCCAGCTCGAGCAAACCAGGCTCTAAAAGCTCAGTAATTTGGCCTCTTTGCAATTGCTTTTTCACCCACTTGACAATGTCTTCATCATCCGTGAACATCACTGGCTTCTTCCCCGTTAGAATCTCAAGCAACACAATGCCAAAGCTATAGACATCCGATTCCTTCGTGGCCTCCCCTGTCAACACAGCTTCTGGTGCAATGTACCCCAAAGTGCCCACCAAGCTAGATGTGGAAGCTTCAGCAGCAGCAATGGTTAGTCGATCGAGCCCGAAATCTGACAAATGAGCTTCGAAATCGGCGTCGAAAAGAACACTTTGTGGCTTAACATCTCCATGTATAATGGATGAGGAATGGAGAAAGGCTAAGCCACGGGCGATGCCTAAAGCAATGAGATGCCGCATTGGCCAATTCAAAACATGCCCATCTTGGTGCGATGCTTCCTGAAGCAGAGTGGCGAGGTTGCCATTAGGCATGTAATCGTATACTAAGAGCCGCATGTCAGGAGGGCCAGCGTAGTAGCCACGAAGAACAGTCAAATTCCGGTGCCTGACTTTCCCCAATGATTCAGCTTCTTTTCTGAACATGTTTTCGTCCAATGAACCATTTGATAGGCGGCGGATTGAAAGAACCATGCCGTCGTTGTAACAAGCTTTGAAAACTAACCCATAACGTGTCCTGCTTAGAACATTTTCTTCATCGAAATGCCTTGTTGCTTCAATTGTTTCGGCTAGAGTGATCTTGTTGTTGAACATCACAAGCTTTGGCCCTCCATTTTCTGTGCTTCCACGGCCGCCACTTGCCGCTGAGCTAACCCTTGCTGGGCTTGTTTTCTTCTCGCCGGACGCCCTCTCTTTGAGCCTCTTCCGCCATCGCAACAAGCTGAAAATGTAAAAGCAGCAACACAAAGCCAAAAGACAAGCTCCACTGGCGGCCACTGCTATGAATAATATCAATCTCTTTGTTCTATCCTTTTTCTTTGTATCCTTACAATTCCAAGCCAATGGTTTCCCACATAGCTTGGAATTATTAGCAAACACAGCTGAGTTATTGAATCTAGAGCCTAAAGAAGCTGGGATTTCGCCTTCTAGATCATTACTCGAGACGTTTAACCTCACTAATCCAGTAATTGAGCTAAGATTAAGAGGAATAACGCCACTCAAATTGTTGGATGAGAGGTCGAGCTCGGTTAAGTTCAAGAGCTCCGATAACGACTCCGGTATGCTACCGGAGAGACGATTCGAGTCGAGAAGGAGCGATTTTAAAGACGAGCAACGAGAGATCTCTTCAGGGATTTCGCCAGTTAAATTATTTCCACCCAAATCGAGCTCTTGTAGATGAGATAAACGAGAAATATCCGCCGGAATATCGCCGGAAAGAGCATTTGAACGGACCTCCAAATGTTCTAGAACAGAGCAGTTCCCCAGCTCTGAAGGGATCGACCCAGAAATGTGATTTTTCGACAACGACAGTGAAACAAGTGATCGGAGAAATCCATAATTTGAAGGGATTTCGCCGGAAAATCCATTAGCGCTTAGATTTAAATAGCGCAAGCCCACTAAACTACTGAATCCATCAGGAATTTTCCCAGATAGCTTGTTCTCTTGTAGAGCAATCACCTGTAAATTAGGCAAACCAGAGAGCTCAAACGGCAGCTCGCCGGAGAGATTCTGTTTGCTCAAATCCAAGGTGGTTAGCTTGAAGAGACTGCCAAGACTAGACGGAATCTTCCCAAAAAAACTATTAGCACTGAGATTCAAAATCTCAAGACGGCTGAGATTCCCAATACCAATCGGAACCTCGCCGGAAAATTCGTTCCCGCCGAGCTCCATCGCCATTAAATTCCCAAGACCCATTAGCTGTTCAAGAGGAAGGGTTCCACTCAAGCCATTATCAGCTAAATTCAAGGTTTCAAGCTCCAAAAGATTTCCCAAACTGGCCGGAACGTAACCGGAGAAATTATTCCCTCCGAGAGATAATCGTTTCAAACCTCTCATGTAACCCAAAAACGGCGGAATCTCTCCGGTTAAACGATTTCCTTCAAAATCAATAACAGAAATCGAAGTACAGTTCTTGATTTCGGACGGAATCGCGCCGTGGAACGAATTGTTAGCCATTTTAAGCTCTTGTAATCCCGAGAGATTCCCAATTCCGGGAGGAATCTCGCCGGAGAGATTATTGACAGAAAAATCCAAGACTGTCAATGTCGGAATACCCATTAACCACAAGGGGAATTCCCCCTTTATCTGATTATGTTGGATATCAAGGACCTGTAGAACACTAAAACATGTCGCTGTCGGAGGTTTGACAATGTCCGTGAACGCATTAAATCCAAGTTGAACGATTCGAAGAGACGGCGCATGCGACGACACATTGCAAAACAGAGAGTAAGGAACTGAACCAGTGAGACTATTTTGCGAGAGCGAAATAGCTTGAAGATTCGGAAGAGCTCCGATGGCTGTCGGGATTATGCCTTGAAGGGCATTTCCCTCAACGCTCAAATGAACAAGCGAAGAACAATTCGCAAGAGCCGAAGGCAATGTCCCTTCTAGAACATTATGATCCAACCAAAGATGTTTAAGCTTCTGCAGCTCACCAAAGCTCGCCGGAATCTCGCCGCCAAATCTATTGAAAGAGAGATTCACAACCTGAAGCTCCGTCATGTTCACAACGCTCCTCGGAATCTGACCGGAGAATGCATTCGACGAAAGATCGAGATACTTTAGACTGCTCGGAAGGTCGTAGGGAATTCCACCGGAGAGGCGATTCGCCGCCACGTTGAGAATATGGAGATTGGTTAAGTTCCCAAACTCCACCGGAAGGTCACCGGAAAACGAGTTGTACTGTAAGAAAATCGAACGTAGAAACGCACATTTGGACAAAGAAGAGGGAATGGTACCATTGAAGAAATTAGATCGAATACTCAACTTCCGGAGCATCGGCAAGTTAGCCAACTGATCGGTCAATCGGCCGGAAAGTTGAAGACGAGGCAATCGAAGATCAGTGACACGATTATTGACACATAAAACGCCTCTCCAGTCACAAGGCGCCAAAGGGGTTGAAGAATCCCACCCAGTCAATGCACCAAGAGGGTCATGAAGGTTAAGTTTAAACGACATCAATGCCTGTATCTCCGCCCTGATGTCGGCGGCGGAGGAAGAGAAACCACCGGAAAACAACAGGAGCCCAAAGAACAACACAAGAAGAAGCCTCATAGATGCTTGAAAAAACAGAAACCCAAGAGATTAACACAAGAAAAACAGAGCCATCAAGAGATCATATCAATGGGGGGCGTAAAAGAAAAACAGGGAATCAGAGAGAGACGTTGGCGCTGCGAAGGAGAGCGTATGATATGGGACGAAAGGGCCCAGAGAGGGAACAGTGGCGCACAAAATTGCAGCACAGAGATTCAGAGCAGAGAGCCTCTTTTTTTATGTAAATGGAGCAGTAGTTCCAAAAGGGTTTTGAAGGATTGCTTTTTAAGTGGACCAGATCGGCTCAACTGGGCCGGTCCGTCCAGGACCGGGCTCACGTTTTACTCTCTTCTCATGTGACCGTGGCTTTTTCCATCATTATTACACCCTCTCTTTCCCCATTAATAATTTTTGTATTTATTTTATTTTTTAAAATATGTAACTTTTTAAAAAATATCTATTTTAATATCTATAATATATTGTTTTTTTTATACCATTTCGATAAAATCATGTCTCTCGATTAAATGTTGTAAATTATATTACTCGTGTGTTTTCAATATAATCGACATTTACAATATTTTATTTCGAATTATTTTCATATACTTAACATATGCACGTGATTTGATGTTATAGATAACATCGAGATCATTTGTGGAGTCCGATTTTTCATACGATTGACTTGTTCACAACACGATCATTATCTGATGAATATATTAAAACATTTTTTTTATGTTAATAAAAAATTGCATAGTGACAACCATAGATAATCATATCCCGTTTATTGGACAATCTTTTTCGTTATACTTTTAAAAATATTAAAGGATAATGATTTTGACGAGTGGGTGAATGAATTGATGATTTGGTTTTATGGACATTTTCCCCCTTAATACTATATTATAAAATTTATGTCTTTAATTTTATTATATGGTTTATAATCTAAGCGATGTATAAGGTTAAAAAAGTAATATTGCTATCTTCTCTTACGAAAAATATAATATTTTATTTTTCTCGAGAAAATAAACAAAATTAAGATTTTTAATTTAAGCGAACGGTAAGCTATGTACCTTTTGCACTAAACCCTAAACTCAAAGTCTTTGGCTTTTTTTTTTTACCCCTTTTTCTCCTTGCTCAAAGTCACGAGAATCTCTCCTACAAAATTATTTAGATTCTTTGAATTTAAGACTAATTTTTTCTTAAGAACCTCGTTTCTCATTGGCATAATGATTTTGTGATTCTATGAATGGAAATGACATAATATATAACTATTATATTATTTCATTAAAGGCAAGTTTGTAGAAAAAAATTCAGAGAGAACAATATCTGTTAGCAGTGAGCTTGAACAATTAGAAGTGGTATTAGAGCCAGACACAAGTGGTGTGCCAGCAAGAACACTAGAATCCCACATGATTGAAGAGAGTATGGAAACTTTTCTCTAATGGACGCGTTTTAAAATCTTGAGGGGGAAGCTTGGAACCAAACACTGAGCGGTGTGCTAGGAAGGACGCAGAGATCCCACTTGAGTTGTTACACGTGATATCCAAGCTCGATATCGAGCAATGTGCCAGTAGAAAATATAATTTTATTAATTTATGAATTAGAAAGGATAGTTTTTTCTCTATATTCAATGTACGATTTAAATAAAAGGAAGCTATGCATTTAGGTCTAGAATTGGGCAATTGGGGTTTTTATAAAGTACAACGTGCCTATAATCAACATGCCAAGAGGCTGTTGTCCTTCAATCTGGACCAATAATTGTGTAAGAATTTAATTATTTTTAAAAATAAAATTAATGGCATAATTAATTTGTTGTGATTGGACCCGAACTCCACCCTCTTGTTTTTTAGCTTATTTTTCCATTTATTTTAAAATCCATCAAATCAAATATTTTACATTGCCCAACTTTCTTTCTTCTTTTCACTTTTGCCCCAAATTTATGACCAATTGTAATGCCCTTTCACAACATTATCCCCTTTAATTTAGACCCTTTTTTGAACAACATAATCAATCCCAATATTCCACTATATAGGTATAGGTTTTGGTTTATTAAAAAGATCCCGAGCTCGATGACTTATCAGTTTGTTTGATGGTTAATGTCTGTTCTCGAACCTTTTCAAATCCGACGCACCAAATTTAAAATAAAAAACCTATTTTATCGGTTGTGGATTTTGATATTTATTTTAATATTTATTTAAATTTGATGGAATATATTTGAATTATTTTTGTAATTAAAAAAATCAATTGAGATTTTTCATAATTGCTAGTCGTTTTTTTTTTTTTCCTGCAATTTAATCTCATACGGTACCGTTTCAATTATTATATTTTACCCGGCACATTATTTTCACTTGTTCATTTCCATGAACAAAAAATAACTGCTATTTTAAAATATATATATATATATATATATATATGTATGTATAAATTAATTGTTTTCACGGGATGGTGCAGATGAGTAAATAAGCTAAAGGAATAATGCAGCCACAAAAAAGGGAAAATTATTAAAGAGAAAAATAAAAATTGCAGAAATAGCCTCCAAAAGTGCTTAATTAAGGGGTTTGGTTCAACTTTTTCAGGACATATTTATTATGACCCCAATTAAGCCACTTCACCTCTGCGCTGCTACCATTATCTGCCACGGTCGGCAATCAATCCCTTCTGAATTGGGCTAAGGCCCAATAAATTCCGTGGGCCCAATTTATTTGTTGGACCTTGGCCCAATAATGATCCGGGCTCGGGTCGTTTTTTTTTTTTTCTTTTATCACCAGCTCTATTTTAATAAAAATTAGAAATATAGCACAATATATACTCAAAGTTACCTCAACCCCAACTATAAATTTATTATATTTATTTATATCGGGAATTCTTTTCTTTTGGTTTTGAGACGATTGGTATAATAGATTTTGTTTAAGCAGTATTGTTTCGATCTATCCAATTTAAATATGGGAAAAAATGGAAACAATTTCGGGGTAAGAGTTCGAATTTGTAACTGATCTTTAAAAAATAAAAAATGTTCTTTGAAGACATTTTGGTTCGAATATTTAGTTGGTAATTACGACTACTTTTATTATTTATATTATCTGAATACTAAAACTACAAGCAGATGGAGCAAAAACATTGAAAGCATTCAAATTGGAGAAGTGGATGATCTGATACAAACCTCTAGATTTTTAATTGTCGTTCAACTAAATATGTTTGTCACCACAAATATCGAATCTGGTTAGGTAGAGAGAGAAAGAGAAATTATGAGTATCAAGTTTCGTGCAACTCACGTGTTGTTCATATGGCTGCTCCATATGTTTGAGGTCAATAAAATCAGACAGCCCCCTGGCCCAAAAGCTACAAACTTGGGACCCATCTAAGATATGAACCTACAAATCGTGGCTGAAATTGAACCACAACCCAATGTCAAACCTATAATCTCTCTCTCTGTCTATTGTCATCGGTCGGCATTATTTGTTATAACCTAACGACTGCAGTGGCCGACACCAAGAACATCAGATATCAGGAACAGGGGGACGACCAAAATGAAATTTTGAAGGCACCCTTTTCAGGTTTTGATCGAGTTATGTGTTTTTTATCAAGTTTAGGAGGTGGGTTTGTGAGATTGATCGTAAAGTTTCGATCTTTTTAATGGTTTATGTTGTGAGTGGCAATGAGTGATTGGTTTTGATGAGGATACTTTGTGATTCCTGTGAAAATGCTGCAGCGACCTTGTTTTGTGCAGCTGATGAGGCTGCTCTTTGTGCAGCATGTGATGTCAAGGTATATATATAAAACCAAGTGCTTATATTACCTTTAGTTTTATGTCTTGTGATTTGGAAGTCTTTAGTTCACGTTGATGGGCAGGTGCACATGTGCAATAAGCTTGCGAGCCGCCATGTAAGGGTTGGGCTCGCAAGTCCGAGTGAAGTTTCCCGCTGTGATATATGTGAAAATGCACCAGGTATATATATAATCATGAAGTCTTTTGGTATTGTTTTTGTTTGAGGGTTAACATTCTGAAGGAAGATGTTTGCAGCTTTCTTTTACTGTGAGATAGATGGAAGCTCCTTGTGCTTACAATGCGACGTGGTTGTTCATGTGGGAGGCAAGAGAATGCACAAGAGATATCTTCGGCTGGGGCAGAGAGTTGAGGTATTAATCCTACATGAAACCCTTAAATCTCTCAAGAACTTGAACATATTTGATTTTGTTTGGTTAATTTTGCAGTTTCCTGGGGATAAACAAAATGATCCAAAGGACATGAATGTACAAGCGATGGAACAGGCTGAGACAGTGAGAGGTCAGAATCAAGATGGGGTTGATTCAAATGGAGATGGGCATTCCAAGCGGGGGAACCAAGTGATTGATTTGAACATGTAGATCTAATTAGGTGTACCAATTTTTCATTCTCTTCTGTGTAAAACTTGTTGTAACTCAGCCAAATCCAAAGCCGAGATCTGATGGCCTGAACAAGATAATTAGAACAGTATAATATTTATATACAAATCAATAATTATGTACACCATTCATGCTGTCCATGAAAATTTCTACTGGAGTGTGTTGTGCTGCTTCCATACAGGGTGAGACTATACATAAATCAAGCTGTACCCAAATCAGATAATCCACATAACCAAACCAGCGCTGGAGACTGAACCTTATCCAAAGCGCACTTAACTTTCTTTAAACAACCATTACAAATTGAACGAGTAAGAACCAATCTTCCTAATTCTATGATTGGCTTGGAGCAAACTGACGTGAGGGCAGGCAGCAAGGGCGCGCATACATCATGACTTGAAGAGAGTAACTGTGGCGATGTAACCATTTTTCATTACCTGCTCATGACATTCATTAACACACCGCCTTAATAAATAACACAATCAACTAATAATGTATGTACTCAATAGAAGAGGGAATAGAATGATCAAAATCTTTGGTTCTGTTTCCTCAACTTTTGATTTTCTTCTAGGATAGGAAGGTGCAAAGGAAAACAGTAATAAAAACTAAAGGGTAAAAAACCCACCTCAAATGCAACATTTTGATAGCCATAGACGAAAGTAGATCCAAACGGATTGTTTGTTGAACCTTGTGTTTGGATGGCAGCTCGCCCACAGTCCCCAAGGATTTCCTAGTTTCAGAGAGAAAAACTTTCAGATATACCTTTTTAAAAAGAAAAAAGCACTCGAACATTGAAATGGAGAGTGCAAGAACTCCAATTTGGGCAAAACTTGATGACGATTATTTAAAGAGTTATGAATCCACTACAGATGATAAAATGTTCATTAATACACAAAAAAAAAAATGTGCCATCAAATAGCCTTCAATCAACACAGTTCTAAACCAACTCCTGACGATATCTAATATTAAAGGAAGGCGCCCTTGAGATAAATAATGAGGGCAAAATCCATTCTACCTTCACATCTTCCCACTTCGTGCTGGGGGTTATAGAGTTTTTACAGTTGGTTTCGTCAAAAGAACCTGAAACTGCAGAAAATAGCACTATAATGGTCAATCACTCTCGCAAGAACAGTTCTGAAGAAAATTAGACGGTAGTGTTTCATGCAAGTCCGGACCATGGATTACAAAATTGCACTTGATGTATGAGTTGAAATCAGCATGACCAGGGTAGTTGGTGTGCAAAACAAACTTCTTGATTTTATGTGTCTGCAAATCAAACACGGTACCTTGAGAACTATAAAGCTTAAAAGATCAACACATACCATGAGAACGCAACATTAATATATAGAAATACACCAAGTACCTGCCCATCAAATAAGATGTCCAAACCACGGGTAAAATAGTTGTAGAAGTAATCACCACACAGGGTTGTTCTGGGACGGGGATCTAAAGCAGAATGAATAACCATTTGATCTACCTGCACAAGAAAAACCAATACTCCAAGGTTCTAAGCAATTGAAGCAAGAAATATAAGAAACAATCACATGTACTCATAGCACATGCGCAGCATGACTTGATTCTTGAATTCAGATATATGCACATAAATTTAACCATTTATATAAGCCCAAAAATGCTGGGTAGCTCCAGAGATCGGTAGTTTATTACTCAATTGCTCCTCCCTTAAAACAGGTCAAGGCTTAAAATATAAAATCATTAGCAAATTCAGCTTGACATTAATGCTAATATAATTTTTATCAAACAATTACAAGCACAACAATATTGTAACTCACAACTTCTGGTTCAAGGTAGTAGGAGGTAAGAATACCTGCTTTTGATGGATTCCACAAGGCCGGCCTAATTCAGTCCAAATATCCTGCAAAAAAAATTGAATATCTGCGTGAGTCTTAAGAGAAATAGAAACAAAAATGCGTAGGGAGGTTAATTTGAACAATCTTTACCAGACATTCTTTTATTCAGAGAGGAGTGAAATGAGTATGAAAATCACAAGGATCAACATTGAATTTTAAAAAAAAGAAGAGAAAAATCAAATGACCAAACTATAAAAGTCAAAGAAGTAACAACTCGGAGAGATAGTTCAACGATAGATGTCTTCTACAGCCATCAAAACCTCCTTGAATGGATTCCTGACCACCTTTACTTACCCTTTTCGTTTAGAACACATTTTTTTCATGTGGTGGCAAAAAAGACAAGGCTAAAATAGCCACCAAACTCAAGGGTACATTTTGTATTAAAAATAAGTATCCAATTCTTGTTGGTGTAAGATCCATTCCAACTTCTTCTATGTCATTTTTGTAGTTAACGTTCTTAAAATGGGTTTCATTAATCAAAATAAAAATGTGTGGCTTGTAGTTTGTTTGGGGGGGGGGGGGGGGGGGGGGGGGGGGGGGGGGGGGGGGGGGGGGGGGGGGGGGGGGGGGGGGGGGGGGGGGGGGGGGGGGGGGGGGGGGGGGTGGAATACCCACACAAATAGTTGCATGCCATTAATTTAATTAGTCTGATACATATAGGATAAAAAGATAATTTAACAACAAAAGCATGACATGGGGCAACAAAGATACCTGTGGTGAAGCACCAAAAGGAATATGCTGGCCACCCACAGCAAAGTATAATTCATCACCAAGCTGGACACGACAGAAAAAAGTAAGCAGGTAAGCAATTCAAATAACAAAAAGTTCAGATGAAGAGGGAAGCCAGACCTTAACATGGACCTCCTCCATATAGAGACTGCCAGCAGGTAATGGGGGAGCAGAGGCCTTATCCATTAAGGCACCTACTCCAACCTTTTTTACTGTAGAACTATCGAATATGGAGACACGACATGCAACTGGTGTGGTGCCATCAGGAAACTCCAATGGTAGCTCAGCTTTTGTAATTAAGAGTAGTTAGTTACTCTCCTTAGAACTCGAAAATCCAAGAGCCAGGTTACAGGGTGAATGGAAATTATGATAAAATACCTTCTCCATCATGGCAACAATCTGAATATTGGCTTGGTATTGGAAATGCAAATGAAAGTCCCTACAACATACAATAGATGATATCAAAGATGAAAAATAAATGTCAGGCATAGGGTATTATATTACTGTACAAATGTTGGCTTGGAAATACAAATACATACTGGATAGAATAGAGTGTAAACACTTCTATCTCTGTCATTAATTCCAGGAAAAGTTGGCCCAAAAAGCGCATATACAGCTACAAAGGTAGCAAGATTTGATGGTCCTCTGCAATCAAGTAGTGATCATTAAATTGTGAATAAGTTATTGTACATGTACTCCACATGAGTTTAGATCACCTACCCAATCAGAGAAGTAGCATATCGCATTTGAAGTCGCTTCACATCAAATATTTCAATAAGACGTAACCTCTAGCAAGTAATGAACAGACATGAGTTAATTTGGAGCAAAAATGAACTTGAAGCATAAGATGCACAGACAGCTAGAATATGTGATTTCATCAGTAGCTTTTTCACATAAAATACTTGAAGGGAACTCTGATAGATGATAAAAGGCAAACCATTTTAACAATCATATTTAAAAGGAAAAGTATGTCACGCTCTTGAACCCATTTGATTTGAGTTAAAGTGTTGATATCTCCTTTTCAATGAATATGCTAGAGAACAAAAGTACCTGTGACCACGGGTCAAATCGAAGATGAAAACCGTGATCTGGGAAGCTGATAACGATATCAAGTTTCAGTGGCTCCTACAATTAAAATGGGTTATATATAGTATTAGAACATTGGCAGTGAAGGATGCGTCCAACTAGACCACTAGTGAACTCCAACTATGCAGATGAAAGATAAGAACGGTTCCAGTAAACTCCATATCAGGCATATCCCACAACAAATCAACGATATCAGCAGATCAATTTTCAGAGTTCGAGAAAAAAGAAACAGATTATGTACTTAATTCAATATGGCCAGACAGCATTTACAGTCTGGAGATATACCTCGTCGAAGTATTTCACATGGACAACGTCATAGATGTTGGGGCGCTGCTCTATTTGTGCAAATGCTTCACAAATTGGCATTCCTGAGACAGCAGAGACGCATTAATGTTCCACATTAACCAGAAAGCTTCATAATCTCTGAGCACCAAGAATTTCCCATCCCTCCCAACTCCACCCCCCCCCCCCCCCCCCCCCCCCCNAAAAAAAAAACAATAGGAAGAATTCAAATGAAATTCATGAACCAAGAGAAGACTAAAAAATTTTTACATACATTAACAAGATATGCAAATATCCAGCATCAACACATTGTCTAGAGCACGGGATTTTTTTACCGTTTAACCCCCCCCCCCCCCCCCCCCCCCCCCCCCCCCCCCCCCCCAACATACACTATTCCCCGAAAAGATCGCATACAAAGCAATGGATAACTAGCCCTCCCGCCCACAATAGCTAAGGAAAAGTAACGAAACATAAGCAGGAATATCGGATTCGAAGTCAGAACTACGGATTTCAATGGGAAACTTCTTGTACCAGAAATTTGATTCGTACGTATGCATCCAATAGGGAATCAATTAGATATGCGCAGAATCAAAATTCGAAGAGGAAAAGGTTAGGAATTATGGAAATAACCGAGATTGAAGGGGCCAAGTCCAAGGCCGGGTTGAAGATCGAGGACGATGGCGCCCATAGCCGTGCCCTCACAGCGTCGTCTCGATCTCTGCATCGTTGCCTTTGGTTGGATTGATGGTTCACTTTTCTCCGTGGCTTTCGCGAAACGAGCGGACAGGTGTTTATGATTTCTTATGGCAAGTTCTCTATCTCTAATGGAAGCTCTTCGCAGTTCGCACGCAAAGTCCAACAGCCGAGGGAAGACTCACAAATATCATTTATATATATAAATTATTTATTTAAGTCTATTTTCAATAAAAATTTAAAATTAATTTAAAGTTATTTTTTAAAAATGTTTTAATAGTAATAACAAATTTCATAAAATATTTTAAATTTTCAATTGGGCCAATTACTGATTCAGAGTGGCGAGTTGGGCCTCGGCCCATTAAGTAACCAATATCCATATTACTTTCAATAATGCATAAAAATAGATAACGATTCCGAAACAAATTTGGGTCAACCATCAAAGATCGAGTCTCGAAACAAACGAAAGATAAGGAAATTAAATTAAAACCTAAGTGCCTCTTCGCAAGCTCGAGATGAGCAAAGGTCGAGCCCATATACAACCTTATATAAGACGGTATGAGCATGCTCTTAACTCATAAGACTCGTATTTAGTCCAATTTAGTTCACTTTTAATCAAATTCGCATGGGTATGAGAAAGTACTAATTTAAGCGTTCTTTAGATGACAAGCACAACTTTAATGTGTCTGATCATCAAACCAATAATTAGCCATGCATTTATATATATATATATATTTAATTTCAAAAGTTTTCAACTACACAATTTTAGAATTTATAAAACATCACGTGCACGTTTTTTATTTTTCTAAATTTAAAGGATGCTTTTTGGTTCAAAGGTTAGCTTTCGATCATCCACCGAGTTTTTTAAATATTTTAAATTGTCATTTACGCACCTTTTTTTTTTTTTAATTATAAGTATATATAATTCAATAAAGCGATTTTTTTCTCTTTTTTTTTCCTTTCAATAATTTAAGGTTGATTAAACCACCAAGCTAAAAATCCATATCTTTAGATTAAAAAAGAGAATTTAATTGATTTTGAGTGTGCACCATGTTCCAACTAAAAATAAATAAAAATCTATTATTATTATTATTTTAAAAAAAATCATACTTATGTACAATAATATACGTTAAATTAATAATTAAATTCTACTAAATATTGAATATCGAATATTTATAAGTTACAGTGCATGACTAATATCAGTTATAAATATTAAATATTTTTAAAAATAAGTAAGGATGAGTTGGATTTTAACCCTATTTGCACGTTTATGGAATTGAACCGGACAAAAAAATGTCTAACTTATAAACATAACAAAAATTTCAATTTTCTTAGAATTTAAATAAACCAAAATCGAAAAAAAATTAACCCAACTCAACATTCATCGTTTGAGTTGGTAATCTGAATTAATCAAGTCACATGATTCTCTATAAATTTAAATAAATTTTATTTGGAACACTCAAGAATCTTAATATGTCCTTTTATTATTATTTTAAAAATATATACATATATTGATATTGGATTGAATTAACTGAACACCATATTTATCAATCATTTCTTCAACAACTAATGAAAATAACGGACAACCTAATGTGGCTGTCTCCAATCTTATCGTGTGGATCCAATTTCCATGGCTTCAGGTTAATTCGAGTTAAATAATTTCCACGTCAGCTTCACAAATCACATCCAACTCAATCTATGGCCATTTAAACTATACCGTAAATTCCACGCCATTTTAAAACTTTATCAATAATAATAATAATAATAGAAACAAAATCTTAATTCACCAATTTAGGATAAATTCAACTCTACGTTTTTTCATCCCAAAATAAAATAGTTTATACGTCAAATTTGATCAACCTAATTTCGTCCATAAGATTTCGTTTCGATTTTGAGTTGATTTAGTTTAAATAAATTAAATTTTTTAGTAATTATTTCATTTTTATTTTTTTATAATTATTTATTTTTCAATACCCTTCAAAATAATAAAAAATAAAATTAAATATGAATAATTTTTCTAAATGTCAAATTATTAACCTAACCTTTGAATATTCTATTTATAATTTGAAATTTATTAATTAACTTATTGTCGTTAAATTCTAAAAATAATAATAATAATAAATAAATATGTGAGTATGTAAGTATATTTTTTATTATTTTTTTAAATATTTATTTCTATCCACAAACATGATCGTTACACGTAGGGTTTGAAGTTGTTATTGTTCCATTTTTTTCTGGAAGCGTCACGCAAATCATAATATAAAGCAGGAAAGTAAATCTCGGAAATTAAGATTCCTTCAAACGAGTGGACACAGAACCCGCTGAGTGGGCACAGCGACAAGCCGGGTCGCTCTTGGAGAAGTCAACCCGAAGATGTCGCCCATGTCCATCTCGTTTGGCTTCATCCCATCAGGCAATTCCCACGTGAAACAGTGCAGTAAGTGGGCTACAGCCATCTCAAGTCCGTACAAACCCAGCTGCATTCCTGGGCAAGACCGCCGACCTGACCCGAATGGTATGAATTCGAAATTACTCCCTTTGAAATCCGCCACTCCCTGTTTCAGAAACCTCGACGGCCGGAACGTTTCCGCGTCGTCCCACGACGCGGGGTCTCTCCCAATGGCCCACGCGTTTACAATCACTCTCGATTTCGCTGGAATGAAATAGCCTGCTACCACCACGTCCTCCGCCGTCTCGTGGAGGAGAAGCGGAATCGGCGGATGCAGTCGAAGAGTCTCCTTAATACAACATTTCAAGAAGGCTAAATTCTCCAAGTCGGATTCTTCGACACGTCGGTTTAAACCAACGACATCCGCGAGCTCTTGTTGGGCCTTCTTTAAATCATCTGGGCTTCTCATTAGCTCCGACAAGGTCCACTCTATCGCCGATGCCACTGTCTCTGTTCCTCCGAACATAACGTCCTGCAAATTACACCCCTAATTAAATTTGTCACATTCTAAATTAAAATTAAACATTATGCTCCTCTTAATTACCATGATAATTGCTTTGATATTGTCACGGTTGAGTTTGATACCATTTTGTGAATCATCTAATTCATTTACGGATACTTGTTCATCGTAGAAAGCTAACAATTCATCCACCATATCCGTTTCAATTTTATCATCTTTAACGTTTGATAATTTTCTAATTCTTTTCTTCTCCATATGTTCATCAATTATGGTGTCGATGAATTTATCAAGCGATTGACGCGCTTTAACAAGGCGATTGTTCAAGCCTTGTGGGTCGATCCAGCTGAGATTAGGCATAAAATCAGCTATGTTGAAAGCTCCAAAGAGTTTGGAGAATTCTTGCAAGATTTTTATGAATTCATCTTGACCTTGCACTGTACTTGTCCCGAACGCAGCTCTATAAATGATATTCATTGTCAATTCAAACACTCGCTCCCCGACATTCACGACAGTTCCCAGCTGCGCGGCGACATGTCTAACGGTCGAGTCTATCTCGTCTCGAACTGACGCCCACGATTCAGCTCGCTTACGGCTGAATAACTTCATGACACAAAGCTTACGCATTTGCCGCCAGAATGGGCCGTAGTGAGCGAAAGCCATGTCGGCTTGGTCGTACGTCAAGTAGCTTATGGCGATGGTGACCGGACGATTAGAACAAACGTTATCATTAACCTGTAAAATATTTAAAAATTTAAATTTTGAACTCGTATAATTATTGGACTTGACCTTTGTCTAACCTGAAGGACTTGACGGGCCATGTCGGGGTTGGAGATGGTGACCATGTGAAGGAAGCCCATGCGCATATGGAAGATTCCGCCGTAGCGCTTGGCGAGCTTGGCGAGGCCACGGTGGGTGAGCTGGTCCATCATCAGCATGTTGCCAAGGAAGGGTAGCCCTTTTGGGCCCGGCGGATAGGGGAGTTTTCGCCGGAGCCGGAAGATGAGAGCCAGTAGAAACAAAAGAGGGAGAGTGAAAATAAGAGCCATGGGATTCCTACCCGAATATTATGGGTTATTTTGATGGGTTTATATAGAATAAAATAAGCAAAAAATTTAGCTAATTTATGCTTACTATAATAATTATTATTTTAATATTAATGTTATATTTCATTTTCGAAGATATTTTATTCTTTTTGGGATGGACTATTCTACCTAGAAACTTGGTGCAATTATCTCATTCTTTTAATTTTTTTAGAAATTATTTCCTTGAAGATAAAAGTGCTGAAGATGGGAAAAATAACATTACTTGTAGCTTATTATTGTTGTTATTATTGGAAGGAAAAAAAAAAAGAACAATTTGGTTGGTTTTGTTGGTGTGTTGAGCCAAACTTGTATGTCACGTGCTTAAAATGTCTTCATGTTTTGGTTCCTTGCATGGTTCTAGAAGATTAAACTTTGCATTCATTTGTAGTGATTTACAAATGTCTTTTTAACGTACATATATGAATAAGTAATTGTTCGGTTAACTATGTTTGTACTAATTAGACATAATTTTAAAATATTTTGAGTGGCTTCGGTATCCAAACATACTTTTAGACATATTTTAAAATCTTTGCTAGCTAGGAGAGATGAATTCTTTGACGTCAACTCAGTCGAGAACACGTTCAACTTCATCTTGGCTCCATAGGACATTTATGCCATTTAAATACATACTTTTTTTCTTACCCATTTTCAAGGCACAACATGTCAATATAATTTCTAATTAAAATATCTAATAAAAAATAATCTCAAATTTTGCACTTTTATTAAAAAATATATATATTCATAAACTTAAATAAAAAAAATCTAAGAAAGTATTATCACCATTAATTTTTATACGATATCTTTAGTATTTTTATTTTTTAATTTTTTTTTAAGAATAATACTTTTGAAAATTCAATGACATTTTAAAAATATTTTTAAAAAAATTAAACTTTGAAAATTTAAATTTTGAGATATTTTTGAAATAATATAAAATTCAAAATATTATTGAAACGGATATTTAATACTAATTTATAGTTTACCATATATATCATATTTCATATTTTATTATAAGACAAATATCTAGTATTTGCCTTGTTATTCTATTACCCTATGTATGTTTCTATTTATTGCCCTTTTACTATTTTTATAATTAATTTGATTATAAATAGATAACTCTGATACAAATGATGTGGTGGATTAAGCAAACATTCTACTTAGTATTATTTTATTGGATGGTTATTTAATTTCAAAATTTTATTTAATAATAAAAACAATAACTACTTCCAATAAAATCACAATAAAAAATACTAAAATACATCTAATACAAACATTTTTTATTTAAAAATAAATAAATATATAAAAGTTAAATAAAAAATTTTATTTTATAGAAAAATATTAGAATTAATAAAACGTTAGTGACGCCACTCTAGATGAGAGAGAGCTTTCCCAGCTTGCGCAGCTTCATTTACAGCGCGTTGGGTAAATTAAACTTTTACATCGTGCATTTTATTTTATTATTTTATTATTTTATTATTTTCCAGATAATACTAAAAATATTTTATAATAATTTGTTAATAAAGTGTTCGGAGTTTAGTGAGAAATTAATAGGTTATATTGTACCTCGTTCATATTATTATCATTTTTATTCAAATTAAAAACAAAAATTGTATCAAATTTTATCCTAAAGTTTGAATTCTATTAATTTAAACCAAAATAATATATTCATTTTCGGACTCATAAAAATATCGCTAATCACCATCAAAGCTTATTAGTGTAAAAAAAAAAAAAAAAAAAAAATCATATTTGTCCAAGTCCTATCGATTTTAAACCAACGCATACGGTTTATAGATGCAATGAGAATACTTTAACGTAAAAATTGCAATATTTATTTGAGGTTAACGTGTAATTATATGAAATTGAAAATTTAGTGTAGAAATTGAAACATCTAGGATGCACACGAATTGAGTTCGAAAGTTTTTTTGGACTAATTTAAAGGGGATGGTGACCCAAACAACTTGAATAGAGTTTATAACCTAATTTATTGTCGGGTTTTTAATTATTTACCAGGTGAAAAGTGAAAAATGTTGGAATGGAAATAATTATTTTGAGAATATATATACCAAAATGAATTAAAATAAAAGTTTTTTTAGAAATATAAATAAATATCTCCAATAATTGATCAAATTCGGAAAATATCGTCTATTGACTTCATGTTCGGACACAATGAAGTCATGAACGAATGACGTGGATCCATTTTGGAGTTTTGATTACGTGTCAACTGTGGAACCACACAAAATCCATTATTTTGACAAGCAATTGGAGTTTATGTGATCATTATAAATTCCCAAAACAAAAGAAAAAACGAAATAAATAAATAAGAAAAAGGTAAAAATTACCGAAAATTATTGGGCCGGGCTTTTTTGAATGAAAACTAATTGGGCCGGCCTGTATTGCCTGAAAACTGATTGGGCCGGGCTTTATTTAACTATGATTAATCAGTGTCACAATTACTTGGGATTCGAATCGCCGCCACTCTGTTACACTTAAAACGTGGTTTCCTAATGGTTCCCTATGATTCTCTTTCTAGGGTCCGTATTGCCTCTGCTATTTAACCACAGCAGTCAAGAATCCGCCTCCCCCACACAGCTCCCGCCGTCACCTCAGGATCCGAAATAGTACTTTTTCTTCACCAAATCCACCGTCATTATCAACTCTGCTAGAGTCGCCTCTAGGGTTTCTTCCTCTTCTCCGACTTCTCCGTCTTGTTTTTTTTTTATCGTCGCCGTCGCATCTTCTTTCGTCATCGCTTTCTATCTTCTTTGTTTCGATTTTAAGTTTCTAAATCGGATCGATCTTAGGATTGACGGTTTTCGGATTAGATAAATCTGCTTGATCGTTGGTTTTTCCCTTTGCAATCGATCGATTGTTTCGCTTTATGCTTTAATCTGGAACTTTAGTCGTAGTTTTGTTTTTTTATAAAAAAAAGAGAAGCGAATCGATTTGAGTTAAGAGCGTCTTTGATCTGGGATTTTGAGATGAAGCGGACGAGGAAATCGAAGGGTGTTTCGTGGGCTAACGGAGTTAACCTTTGTCAGGTATAATTGTTAATATCTTCTAATCCAAGTTTCGTTTTCTTATAAGATCATTAAAATTCATATACGTAGGGCTTTTGATTTGATAGATTAGATTAGTCATTAATGGTCTTGAGATCTTCCACTAATTTTCCTCGGTGAAATCGAAAGGCATATAGTTGTTTTTCATTTGGTTATTAGACTTGATATGTTTTCTCGCCAATGAATTTATGATATTAATTTAGTAATTCACTGGTACAATGCTTTTCTTCGAAGAAATTATCATGAGAACAAAAAAAAAAAAAAAAAAAAAAAAAATTAACAAGTATCGCTCGGATTGTGAACAAATGCATTAATTTCCCCCCGGCGAGCAATCAGTTGGCGGAAAGAAATAAAAAACAGAATTGCATCATAATACGGAATTAAATCAATGGCAGTCCAATTTGAACGATCCGAGTGACGTTCATTGCCTTTGAAAAACCAATATCTCAATTCACAGCAAGAAATTATAAAAGCTCTTTTAGATATGGTACAAGAAATATGAACAGCTCTGATCTACAACCAGAGTTTCAGTATTCAAAAAACTCCCCGATCTAAAAGATCCAAAAGTAATTGATCACGAGCCGAGTAGACGTGGGCTCGTGAAATAACCATTCTATTTGCAATGCTGAAATAAAAAACATTTTGCTTGAATTACTCCAAAAGAAAGATTAGTTTGACCAAACCATTTTATATAGAACGATATCTGCCACGTCATGCAATTTTATTCCCCCACTCTTTGATCTATAAGTAAATGTGAAGTTTTTTATTCTCTAATCCCTTGGGAGGATATGAATTTGTTCTTTTGGCGAAAAGATAATACCAGCTATTTAATACAACTTCAAGAACCGTTGATGGACGAAACTATTTTGATTGTGTGTAAATATCAAGAACAGTTTTAGCCATTTCTTAGAATTAAGCTTTTTTCTCTAAGTAGATCGCATTCCTGGGTATTATTTTTTCTCCAAAATATCAAGAACAGGTTTATTGTAGAACTGAAATTCTGAAACAGTACAGAATCTGTAGTTGATCATATCTTTATGTACTCATGGTATGTTAATCCTGCTTAGAATTGCATTTTGGAATTGATGATGGTCTTCCTGCTTCCTTGTATGTTTGAAAGCTTTTCAGATAATGTTCCGTTGTCCTAATCTGTCTTTTTTCTCCGTAACTGTATGGGCATGTCCTGAAATTCCCACTTTGGCTAAATGCCCATTTTCCACATTGTATGAACATATTATTCCTTTTCCTGAAAATGTCTTGTTCTGGGTCACTTCATGTTGTCTTACTGAGAATACATCAGGGTACTCGTTTTTTGTATGTGTCCCTTGATGGGAGGCAACTTCTCTACGTGTGAGGAGAAATTGAATAGATGTTTGTATTCGAAAGTTTAAGTGTTTTCTTTGTTTTACCTTCCAATGTGGTTGGAAGAACCTATATCTTTGGTGGCTTTCTTCTTGTCCTTCAGGCTATTTAACCCATGTAAATTTATATACCGTGAACCAAATTATGGTGAATAATTACGATTGCTTTTCTTTTAATAGGTGAAGCTGTTCTCATCAGAGGACTGTCCTTCTAAAGTTGGCCAATCTTCCAATCATCTTCAAGCTAAAACCTCCAGAAGGTTGCCTCCTTATACTTATGAATCTAATGGTTGTCCTCCTGGGTTCAATGATACTCGTTTGAAGAACCAATTAGCAGATGTGTCCTCCATCCCTTTGATTAAATGGAATTGCCCTCCCAAGGTTAGCACTATTAGATACTCTTCCTCACCTATTGTCAATTAGCTTTAGTGGGTTACATGATGTGTTGTATGTCCTTTTTGTATCCTTTTCTGATATGTCCCATTGCAATGCCATTTCTCTCTGAACAGTTTGCAATGAGTTGCCACTGGCGTGTGGCAGCAGGAGAAGAAAGCAAAGAATTGGAATCTCAAAATTTCAGGGAGATGAGATTACTCGAGGCGGTTTACCCTCGTGTTTCTGATATTCCTCCAGGGTATTACAAACTCGATATCTGGAAGTTTAATATTTTTTTGTTTCGAATTGCCTAATAATTTCATCTGTGTTGTTTTCTTTTTCTGTATAGTGCAACCGTATCTACCGAGATAAAAAATGAACGATACAATGATAGTGTCACTCCTCTTGTGCCTATTATTCCCATTGAAGAAGAAGAATGTGAAGTAATGGAAGCAGATTCAGCTGCTGTGGGTAACTCCGCTACGAAATCGTTTCCGATGATGTCTTCAAACATTCAGTTGGAACCTGCAATCTCTAAAAGTTCCATTGAAACATCAGCAGCAGCAGCATCAGGGGAAATGCATACTGAAAAGCTACCTGATGTTGGTGTGGACGTAGCAGCTGCAGCCTCTGCTGCATTAGCTGTTCTAATGAAAAGCATGGAGCAAGGAAGCATGATCGACACCAATTTACTTATTAAGATCTTCAATGACACAACAATGATTCAGAATTTGACAAATATTCTTCCTCTATATGAAGCAGCCTATGGAAGTCCACCCTCTGCTGCAATTGCTGCACCAATATCTTTGTCAAAGCCAGTTACTGCATCGAATTCCTTGCCTGTACCAAAATCCGATATGATACAGAAGCTCCCGAATCGAAGCTTACCCCACAGCTCAGTTGGAGTTCCTTCCTCAGTAACCACTCTTCCTCAGGTGAGTAACATTGTAGCGTCTGGTGTAAAGCCAGCCTCAGTGCCAGTCCGTGGCTGGACCGAACCCCAAACAGTAAAAACTACCATACCGAATGCTAGGAACTACTCTAACACAGGTGCAGCTCCTGGCCAAGTGAACATGGAACCAGTAAGTTTGGTGAGAACAGAAGGGCAGCAATTGAAGGATCTTAATTACTATAAGAACCTAGTAAGACAACATGGAGAGCAGAAGAAGGATGGAAAGGAACAGAATTTTGAACTAAATGGTAATAATCACAACCAACAATATCCAAACATGGTTCATGAGATGAAAGCAGGGAATTTGAAAGGCAAGAATAAGAAAAACTGCATTTACTTCAATACCCCAAAAGGTTGTCGAAATGGCAATGATTGCCAATTCAAACATGACATGTCAAATCCCTGGCGCATTAATAACGTATTGGAGACTCAAAGCAGTAAGAGAATGAAATTGTGGGGATGAACTTACAGGGAAATCTTGTGTTAAAAATGAGGGAAATGGATTTGAATTTCAATGAAAAATATTACTCGGGTTGCCTTAAATGATCTGTTTTAACCATGATGGTAGATTGTTTCTTTATGGTTGATCTTGGAAATTAATTGATACTATGGGCTGTCATGACGTACGAAAAACACTATAAAAAAGTAGTTTTCATAAACTATGTATCTATGTCTATTATTTTTGCGGCATTTATGATGATAATTTATGAACTTGTAATTTTCTTCATAATATAAACACTATGAACAAGAGAGAAACTGAGAAACACAAGCTTAACCCACTTCGAACGAATCTTTTTGTCATGTGTAAAGCACTTTCCACCCTTTATAATTGTCGAGAGTGTGGTGGTACCCCACTTTTTAATATGTTATGGGGAGAGTTTGTAGCCTTTGGGGTTTGGTAGGCTGCTGATTGGAAGGGAGAGAGTACAAAGATAGTGGGGGAGATGATGAATGATTGAATCATACAAGTTTGAATTTTTAAGAAAAATTTGGATCGATTAGAGAGAAAGGGGTTGTGGGGTTCTCTTCGTTAATGAAATATGTGATTTCGTAAAAAGTTCTCGTACAAATCGAATATGATATTTTTGACGATCAACTCATTCATTTACCAATACCCGAAAAAAATTAGATTTCATAAGGTTAAAAATGAGAAAAAAAATAAAATTAAAATCTAACGTGTGTATTCTTAATATTCATAAATTTTAAATAAGATATAAGCTAGCAACTGATACTTACCAGCCATGAAAATAAGAAAGAATATTAAGATATAATATCTAAGATATATTTCATAAATAATATATTATCCAAATATTATATATCAACACTCTCCTCAAGTTGGAGAGTGTATGTTAATCACACATCCAACTTGTATTTACAAGTGTAGGTCAATAACATCCAAGTTGTCTTTGAGAAGAGAGCGTAGGTCAATAACATTTTTGTCTTCTCAGGAGTGAAAATAGAGAATGTAGGTCAATAACACTCAACTTGTCTTTGAGAAGAAAGTGTAGGTCAATAACACTTTTGTCTTCCCAGGAGTGAAAATAGAGAGTGTAGGTCAATAATACTTTTGTCTTCCCATTTAAGAATAATACCCTGGTTGATCAAAGTGATGCATATAATAAAAATGTGTTAAATAAACATCCAAAATTTTGAAGTTGGATAATAACACTAAGATCGGTGCTCTTGATCACTTGAGAGGTTGTGAGCCACCTTTGAGCATCTTTGAGCTTGGTGAGAAATTTGAACTTAAATATACGAACATCTTGAGTATGAAGATATGAACAAAAAGAAAATACGAACATCTTGAATATGCCACCTTTGAGCTTGGAAAGAAATTCGAATATGCTTATAACATATTATTAGATGATTGGCGGTTGTAACGCCTTCACTGATTGAGTTAGTTGATGAACTGCGGTTGTAAAGGCTTCCCTAATTGAGTTAGGGTTTGACTTTGGCTCGGATACCAAACCCTAACTCAAGAGGAAATTTTGATATTTAAGAATACCAGCTATGATACAATGTTAAAAATGAATCGAAAATGTGCATTCTCATTGATATTCATAAGTTTTAAATAGGATACAATCTAGCAATTAATACCTACAAATAAGAAAAATATAAATTAATTAAATATTAAAAATAAAATAAAATATACTATAAATCAAATTATAAAAGAATATTAAGATATAATATCTAAGATATATTTCATAAATAATATATTTTCCAAATATTATATCTCAACACGTAAACACCATAAAGGAAGAATGAAAGGAATATCTTATCGAGGCAATTGTATTTGCTTCGGTAGATACGCTATTCAAGCACTTGAACTCACTTAGATCACATCTAGATAAATTGAAGCGGGACGAAGGGCAATGACACGAAATATATGATGCGATGGAAAAATACAAATATGTATATTTTCAGACAAACCCGTTACACTAAGACCCACAGAAACAGAAACACAAACACGTATAGTTCAGGGAAAGGATGTGTGACTCTTCTCCCAATAATCATCAACAATTGGGGCAAGCGGAAGAAAACAACTGTTAGTGATGACATAGATCATTAGATTAAACGTAGGCTTATGCTGGGTGGCGACAATCAGACGGGGCGGCAGAGAGGACCGGTGGAGGAGGAATTGGGGTGGGATTAAAAAGAAAGATTTAGATCATAATTACAGAAAAACATGGAAAAGGTGGAAACGGGGCGGGGGAGGGGGCGGCGGTGGTGGCGGAAAGGGTGGGCGGCGGCGGCGGCGGCGGTGGGGAAAACGGAAAAAGGCTAATTTGAATAATAAACTGCTGAATTTTTCCGTTTCAACTACCACACGACACAGTAGAACGAGTAGAAAAGTTTCAAAACAAAACGACAAATTTGAATAATGAAATCCAGCTCGGAGTGTAATTCTTAATTAGATTGAATAGCGGCGAAGGAATTAGAAGACGGCGAGACAGGAACAGGGACAGAAGTAGCCGTTGAGATTTAATGAATTGAAAAAGTGGGTGTCCTTTTTCTTGTGTCATTTTCAGCCAAAATGGAATCTTAAATATTTGATGGGGCCGAAATTAGTGCCTTCTTTGTCTTGATTTTACCGCCAAAATAACGGTAACTGTCATGGTAATGGATCACTGAACAAGTAGCCGTTGAACAAAATCCCTCTCATCCTCTACCTCTGTTCATGATTTTTATTCATCACAATCATTAACAACAAATCTTTGTAACAAATTAAAGAACAAATCAAAGAACAAAAGAATAAATCAAGTTCGTTACATAATCTAAACCAAAGCGAAAATCACTAAGAATACTTGCAGGGAGGAAGAGGAGCTCCACAGAGTCCACGGTTATGCTTGAACACAGATGCCGGGAAATGGGTTTTATGCGGCGGAATTTCGCCACAAAGTCTGTTTTCCGACACGTCGAACTTCCAAAGCTTCTGCAAATTCAACACCTCTGCTGGAATCCGCCCACACAGCTTGTTCTTCGAAAGCAAAATCGTGGTCAATTCCGTCGCATTTCCAAGCTCTGCCGGAATTTCACCGGAAAGCTTGTTTCTAGCTGCGTCCAGTACATGTAACTCACTAAGTTCCGACAACGACTTGGGAATTTCCCCTTCTAATTCATTGTCGGATAAAACAAGTGACTTGATCGAAGACATTGCTGCTCTGTTTCCAACATTCTCATCAATACAACCACTGAAATGATTGCGAGAAACATCAATTGAATTGAAATGGCCAAGTGGGTCTTGAACTCCTTTTGAAAATATGTTGTCAAGGCACCCTGTGAAGTGATTGGAATGAAGATCAAGATCCATTAACAGTAAAAGGTTCTTGAATTCAGCTGGAATTGTCGAATGAAATCCGTTCTTCGACAGGTTAAGGAATGAAAGATTCGTCATGTTCCCAATCCAATGGGGCAACGGCCCTGTTAATCGATTGGCCGACAAATCAAGAACTGATATAGAAGATGAAGACAACCATTTGGGAAACGCCCCTTCAATCCCAGTTTTGGCCAAAAGTAGCCTAAAAAGCTTCATTTTTACAAACCAATTCGGAATCGATCGCAACCCAAGTGGATTAAACGAAAGATCCAAGCTCTGTAATCTCTGTAATTTTGATAACTGATGAGGAATTCCACCGGAAAGCGAATTCCTCGACAAATCCAGAGTTTGGAGGTTTTCCAAATTTCCAAAAGTCTTGGGAATCTTGCCGGTAAAACGATTGTTAGCGAAGAACAAATCAGTTAAAGTGGTTAAACGGCCAATAGACGACGGCAATTTCCCAGAAAGCTTGTTGTTCTCAAGAATCAGCCGTTGGATCTTTGCAAGCTTACCGACAGACGCCGGTAACCGACCACTCAGCTGGTTTTCCGACAGCCGGCAGAATATCAGAGAACTAAGTCCGGACACGGAAGAGGGAATGCTCCCGGTAATCTTGTTCTGATTAAGGTACAGCAAAACCAACTCCGACAGTCCACCGATGGATGTCGGAATCCTCCCTGTTAGCTCATTTTCTGAGAAATCGAGATATCTGAGATTTGTAAGCTTCCCAATACTCCTAGGAATGCTTCCAGAGAAATTGTTGGCATGAAAATCGAGATTTTTGAGCTGAATTAGCTTCCCAATTGAGCTAGGAATCGGCCCAGATAGCCTATTTCCGGACAGACCCAATTCAGAAAGGCACTTAAAATGCTCAAAGATCGGAGGAGGGATGATTCCAGAGAGCCGATTATTGCCAAGATAAAGTTTTTCCAATCGAAAAAGACACCCAAAGCTTCTAGGAATCGAACCCATGAGCTTATTTGAATCGAGGAACAAATGGGTCAGTCGTGATAGCTTACCAAACTCGAAAGGAATTCGACCGCTAACGTCTTTGAGATTGCTGAGGTCGAGAAATTGAAGAGACGACAAGTTTCCAAGAAAAGGGGAGAGAGATCCAGACATGTAAGTGTCGGCGATGAAGTCGATGCCGGAGACAATCCCGGGGCGGGTGAGGTTGGTGACTCTGCCGGAGGAATCGCAGGCGACGCCGTCCCAGGAGAAGCAGCAGTCGGTGGCGGAGTTCCATGAAAGGAGGAGGTGAGAAGGGTCGGAGGTGATTTTGAGTTTGAAGTGGAGAAGGGCTTCTTTGTCGGTGGGGTGGCATGAATCAGAGGGAGGAAGGAAGAGAGATGAAGCTAGGAAGAGGAAGAAGAAGCGGAGAGAGAATTCCATTGTTGCTGTTGATGGGATTGGAGCCGTTGCAGGTGAAGAGCTTTATAGAGAAAGTTGCAGGTAATGGATATGGAGTTATGTTTATTTTAAGGAGTGGTTTGGTAGCGTGCTGCACGGATTCAGGCATGGAATGTAGTGGGTNTATTTAGTGGAGAAATGAAATAAGTGTAGAATGCCATGAAGATTATGTGTGTGCTTTCACCAACTTCTTGGGACTCACATAAATAGATATGAACCCAACTCATGAACATCGGAATCATAAATGGATATGAACCCAACTCACATAAATAGATATGAACCCAACTCATGAACATCGGAATCATAAATGGTTGTGTTGTAGTACCTACGCAACGGGTGTTGAATGGAACACGCTTAGGCTAATAGATAAGAGAGAGTTGGTGCGATAGTCTGCATGCATGCACCTTCTCTTGATCCAACCAACTCATGTCGTCGTCAATTCAGGCTCACCATTCATCTGCTTAGTGACAACCCAACTTGTGAGACAATGATCCTTAACCTAGTCTCAAACCCATCCATCCCGTAAAAACATCTATTGTACTAATCTTATCTTTTGTCGTTAGCTTTTGCCGCATGAGTAAAGGAAGATGGTTTCACTGAGCGCAAGGCTTGTACTTGATTTACCTGGGAGTCTTATTCCTTTTGTCAGCGGGATAGTTCCAATTGTTGTTGTGAACATGTTTGTAACAACCTAAACTTGTTGCTGGTAGATATTTGTCCATTCAGACCTTTACGTATCGACATCAGTTTGACGGTTTTAAAACGCGTTTAATTAGGAAGAAGTTTCTGAACCCTATGAGATCCTAAATCGGTTTGAGAGTGGAATGAAACATTTATTATAAACGGTGTTAAAAATTCTCCCTACTACATGCGTTTTAAAATCATGAGGTTGATAGAGCCAAAATAGACAATATCGATTAGTGGTGGACTTAGACTATTATATTGTTATATGGGCTTGCAAAACTATAAATAAGACAAAACAACGGTAAAAAGAATTGACACAAATAAGCCATTAATCCATAATGTCAACCTCGGATGTCGAAGGTTAGAATAAATATCATGTGATGAAAATCCAACATGATTCTTCTTTTGTTTTTTTTAGGACAGCATATAATCTAGAGCTGATAAGAAGGTCGCTCCGGAAACCATTTTTTCTGGATTTGGGCCTCCAGTTTAGAATTGGGCCACCGGCCCAATTGAAACCCAGGGCGGCGCCGTGTCGGGTTTGATGCGATGAATTAGGGCACTATGTTAAACTTTTCAATTTTGGTCAAAATTTGATCCTCCGCTTGGAATTATAAATCACAATTGGCGGTGTAGTCGTTCTAGTTTTCATGAAATTGATCCACAACAATTTCATTCCGTCTTCCATTCTCTCCTCATCTTTATCGAATCGTAATTCAAATCGTCTGCGCCAATTCGAGGCAGAGAATGTGTGGCCACATGTCCCCTTGGCCATGAGACGATTCCCTGCGAAAATAATCCCCAATTTCCAATCGTCAAGCGTTTACCCTAAATCGATCATGGCCAGCGACGGAGCCAGAGAAACCCAATCAGTTGATTTGCAGAGGACAGGCGTGGAGGAGAAAGAAAAGAAAGAGACAGAGAAGGCCGTGAAATTGCCGCCGCCGCCGGAGAAGCCGTTGCCGGGGGATTGTTGTGGGAGTGGATGCGTCCGATGTGTGTGGGACGTGTATTACGAAGAGCTTGAAGATTACAATAAGCTTTGCGAGAAAGGTTCGGCGTCCAATTCTTGAGATTCTGAATCGTCTTCTTCTTCCGAGCCCTAATTTTAATAAGAAAAATGTGTATCCGAATTGGTGTTCTTGTTGAAACTGTGTGTATTCAAAATGAATCTATTTCTGAATCCGTTTATTCTAAGTTGATCGAAATCAAATTCGATCTGTATTTGAATCGGTGTTTCTATGCCAACTATTCTTCAATAACATGAAGCCGAAGAGCTCTTTTCATCCCTTTTCCATCTCTTTAGAAGAACGCTAAATTCGTGGGTGAAAATGAAGAAATTCAGTTTTTTTAAAACAAGTAAATTTTAAATTTTAGGAGTGCTATCGACTTAGAAGACACGTTTTAAAATCTTGAGGTTAACTATTACAAATGGTATTAGAGTCAGGCGATGTGTTAGCAAGCACGTGGAACCCGAAAGAGGTGGATTGTGAGATCCCACGTCAATTGGAGAGGGGAGCGTAGCATTTCTAATAAGATTGGGAAAACTTCTCTCACACATACGCGTTTTAAATCATGAGGTTGATAAATAGGGCAAGTAAAAAACGAATAATATTTAATAACGATAACTTTGGATGGTTACGAAGTAACACAATATTTAACTTTTTTTTTTCAACAATATATTTTTTTTTCTTTCAAATTATTTTTCTATCGATGGTATACAAAACATTAATTTTTATGAATCACCTAATTATAATTTATTCAATCAAAATTATGTAAAATTTAAAATAAAAATTGAAAATTATATCTTAAATCAATATAATTCAATCTATTACTTATTTTTAAAAAGTTTTAAAGTTTTAATATAAAATTATTTCTGTAAAATTACAATTAGTGGCTTATTTGTTATATTGGAATTGGAATTAATTGTGTCGGAATCTTTTCCACAAATTGAATTAAAAAAATAAAGAAAAACAAGTATCTTTTTTTTTTCTCTTTTGGCGGGCCGTTTAGGCCCAATAGGCCTCGATATATAAGCTTAGCAGTCGAAGTATTGTGTGTAATTTTGGACGATGATGCGCGCATTTCAGTTGACTCTGGCTCTGGTGGTGATCACCCTCTCCGCCCTTCACCCAAGAGATGGACTAATCGGAGCCGAGGCTTCGACTTCCACATCCGCCTTCGTTCAGAATGTCATCTTCTCTAACAGGATTGCCATGTTCTCCAAATCCTACTGCCCGTATGTTCTCGTCTTCTTTTTCTTTTCTAATTAGACGAACGCACGCTTTCCGTTTTTCTTTTCCTTTCTTTCTTTTTTTTTTTCCTGCGTATTTCGGTGCGCTCAATTCGTGATATTTAGGCTTAGGAATCATTGAGTTATTGCTGCTAGTCAATCTGTAATTTCTTTTAGTAGCGATTCTCGTATATTTGAGAAATAAATGTAGGATATACGAGTGCTGGATTCGGATGTTTTTGGTCAAATTTGGAGTGAATAGGAAGCTTATATTTCCCTTGTAGAGATGGGACCAAGCCAAGATAGTTTTCTCCAAGGACAGAAAGCTTGCTTGATTGCTACTGTGGCTTCTTTTTTCTTGGTGGTTTCTAGCAGATCTGTCGTCCTTGAATTATTAGAATTACGCGGTTGTCTGCGGTGGATTGAACTATTTTTATTTTGCTTAGATCTTAGGTATGTGGAGAGAGAACTGCTTAGATGTCCAACCGCAATATACTGATCACAAAATGAATTCATTTTCTATCTAGATTGCCATTCACATGTGCGATCTTTTCAATTGGATTTCTGGAATCAGTATTACGATTGGATTCTTTACACTGTTTAGTCTCCCTGATTTTATGCTATTCCTTCTTTTTTGAAGTGAGGCTTATAGAGATTGCGTCATGTTAGCTATTTCTTATTTACGTACTGTTCCAACTTCCAATTGACGTAGGTTTCTGTAACTTCTTTTGAGATTGGCTTGGGGTTTTCCTCTCTCTCTCTCCAGCAATTTCATTGATCAATGAAATTTGCTTTTTGCTTCTTCTAAAAAGGAAAAAAGGATCATCCTATACGAATAATGAAGACCTACAAAATTATGGCACTTCAAATGGTTTCTTAAAAATAATAATAACAATAATTAAGCGATTCATATTCTACCTTTGTCTTATTCTACTGGTAGATATTGCATGGGTGCCAAACGCATCTTCAGTGAACTTCACGAAAAACCTTTTGTTGTGGAGCTTGATCTTCGAGGTATTTATTCGGTGTTAATTTTGTTGATCATTTGCAAATTCAATAACTGTTTGAAGAATCATATTCATGACCACATAATGAGTATCTACATTTACATGTAGATGATGGACCTCAAATTCAGAGTGTCCTACTAGACCTGACAGGCAGGCGCACTGTTCCTCAAATTTTTGTGAATGGCAAGCACATTGGTGGCGCTGATGGTGAGTTCTCTCGGCTTCTTAATTATTTCAAAGTTCTCTACGTCGTATTCAGTGAAGTAGATTAAATTTCTCATTTCCATCACCATTTGTTTTGTTTTCCATATTTTTTTGCAGATCTTAAAGCCGCAGTTGCTAGTGGTCAGTTGCAGAAACTTCTTGCATCAAGTTGATTGATTGCCTTCTGGGAACGAGGAAGCACACATGTGTTGGACTGAAGCTGCAAATCAGTGCAGAGGGGAATCTTAACTTTGTGAAAACTTTTGATAATATTTGTTATTCGTTGATACTCTGCAACAGAGAATGCTGTTGCATATTTAGGCCTTGGCTTTAATGAAAATATGCCCTTTTATTTTTCATTATTTGAAGCCGTGGTGAAAAGGTGTTGGGTTTGGATTATCTCTGCTTTTGCTGTGTCTCATAAATGTGGTAGTGGCACACAAATTGAAGATGGATTTTCTACCTTAGCTAGATTTTGAAATATGCCAATTTTTGGTTCTGAAATAATCTTTGGAAAAAATTTCAGCTATTAAATTATGGGGTGAGCTTCTGTTAGAAAAAGAACCAGGTGTCCAGTCATGACGAAGTGCCTATATTTCTCCAAGAAGCTGTGGTGAACAAATGAACTCAAAATATAATTTCTTCCATGAAGGGTATTCGAATACAATAGTATGTAATTATTTTCAATTTTATGGAATATTCTAACAATTTGTGGACCAATATCTTTCACTCTCTCTCTCTAATGAAGTTCTCGCAGCTCACAAGTAGCTGATTGCAGGGGACGATGTACGTGCCTATTTACCTACTACATTCTTCTGAAGATGCTAGATGGTCTACAAATCTTCTTGCTTGGGGGTAATTTTATTTTAATTTTATTGAATTGGATGCTTGTTTTTCCTACCAAATCAGGAAGACTCTGCATAAGTATCTGGTCTCCAATCGCCTTTCTGAGCACTCAGAAGCCCTTCCTGATTTTTGGAGAAGGTCAAGTGAACTTCCCAACGGAGAGACTTCAACAGGTTCTCCACTTCTCCAATCGTGCTGGATTCATCTCGGATAATCAATTTGCCTCCAGGCCTCACTATTCGATCCACCTCTGCCAAGACAGGCTGCAGTTTGCACCTGCACAAGAGAAAAAGGTCAGGCTTGAATCTTTATCTGTGCACTAGAAGCTTAAAAGAACGTATCTTATTCTACCTCTTTTTCAACTTTGAGAAAAGATGATCAGCGTGTAGTAGATCATATGTTCTTGGATATGTGCTGAACGACTCACACCAATCATGGTAAATCCCAAAGAGACCGCGCTCGTAGATCACCGGAAGTGTATCGGGAGAGTCAATATTCACCACATTTATTACCCAGACTTTAAGGTCTCTCAACGCTGCTGCAAACCTGCAAGGACAAGGCATGCACGAGGTATCATGAAACGCTTTCACTCAGAAGTATAAGTTTTGTGGTTGAGTTGTGAATAGACGGAATGATCTACTCTACCCGCCATAAACAGATCTCATATCCATCACATTTCTGATGTTAGACAGATTTATGCCTAATCCACTCATGTAAGTTTTATTCACAACTCTTTTCCAATGTTCATAATCAGTTGTGAAATCTTGCGGAGCTGGTTTTCCATAAATCCCCATTTGGGAGCTGTTTAGCCAGTAAGGAGGTGCTTTCAATCGCTTCGGCCATTGTTGTGGCCAGTTGCTTCCCCTCATTGCATTGTCAACTGGTACACGGTGCATGCACGCTCGCAATGGCACGTACCTGAAAACGGAAGTCCGATGCTAATCAAATCAAACCCATCAGCTAAAACCATTGAAGAACATTGAGCTCGCAATATCCCCGATGCTTGCTTACCAAGCTGCGTTCGGATCATCGTCGTTTTTGCACATGGGAGGACGCTTGTGTTTTCTTTGATCGTAGCATTCATTTGAGGCTGGTTTCCTGTAAATGGCGGCCCCAATGGAATTCAGCTTGTCTTTCTGAATCGTCACTAGCTCCCAACACATGGACTTCGTCAAATCAGACATTTCTGAGGGGAAAACAAAAATCCATAGAAAAGACTGGCAGGTGCGTAAGTATCTAAAGCGCTCTTAAATCTATTTGTTTGTTTGTTTGTTTGTTTGTTTGACACGTTATGTTACTCGTCTTACCCTTCCAAATTTCGACGTCTTCTTCCAGGCTCTGATACACGGGAGTTGCAGACCAAACAAAAAATCCACCTGGCCTCAGCACTCGGTTCAATTCTAAGAGAAGCATCCCACCTACATGCGCAAGCAAAGAAAAAGGGGTCCCATTTCCTAATTATAAAGCTGAAATTACAAATTAAGAAAACAGGAAAGCCCATGATTGATTTTGATTGTAAAACCTTCTGCATGCCAAGGCACTCTACATCGAGCACAGTGAATAATGTCAAAAACCATGCTTGGAAATGGCAGACGTTGTGAGCCCATGACAGCAGAAATGGCCGGAATTCCCCGCTCAAGTGCGAATTGAACCTGAGCTTCATGCTCGTCTTTTGGAGCAAACGACATTGTAAGAACATCCTTTTCGAACAGATAGCCGCCGAAGCTGGCAACTCCACAGCCCACGTCCAATACCACTCTTGTCCTCTTCCCCCATGCAATATCCGGTACAGCCTGCACCCATCTCCTACTTGATTTATTTTGGAATTTAATACGAAAATCAAGAAGGGAATTTCAATTTTTTTTTTTACCTGTTGAATAAAATCTATGTAGTGGAGAGCGCCGTGGATGAACTGGGTGCCACCGCCGGGAAAAGTCAAGAACTCGCCCGTGACCTTGACCCAGTTTTGGTGGCCTTTAACTTCGGCTAGCTTTGTATGCGGCACATTGTGGTACCAAATCTGTGACAACCCACGAATCCCATGAGGACGGTTTCATGAATGACTAATCACAAATAACAATGTCATCTATCTATATATACCTTGTCCCTGCTTTTGGGCCATTCGATGCATCTTTTGTAATTCTCTGGCAGTGCGACAAGGCAGGTGGGTCCCTCCTCGGGGCAGTGCCTCTCCCGGTGCTCGAAGTGCTTTGTCGTACGCAGCTGCTTCAGTGCTTTCTCGTTGTCTAAACAGGGGATGTAATCGGTGCCTGCCGTGACGTTGCAGAGCTGCCAAGTGTACCCGTAGATGCTGCCGTTGCTAGTGGATTCTTCCCGCCGGCGATCTTTCTCGTTCTCCGATTGCGCGGCTTGTGTCGACCACGACTTTTTAGACTCCTTCGACTCTTTGGGTATTGCCGAGGTATCAAGTGACCCTGCCGTGGTTGGCTCTTCCACTTTGTTTTCTGTTGTTTTTGAGTCCTTTGGTGTTTCTTGGTTCTCCCTGGATTCAGTTTTCTGTGATTCTTGATTCTCAGTTGGCATTTTGTTGCGTCGATGTTCCTCTCGTGGCTGATTTTGCTCCGACGCAGTTTCTTCACTGTTGTTCGTGTTTGAACTGTCCTGTTGTTGTTGCTGTTGTATCTGTTGTTCGGTCTTGTCATCATCCTGGTTATGTATTTCAGATTCTTGTGGGACTTTTTCAGCTTCAGTTTCAGGTTTCTGTTGATCGTTTTCAGAGCTTCCGCCGTTTTCTGGGATGTCGGCTGCTTGCTGTTGATCGGTCTGAGAGTCTCCGCTGTTTTCTGGGATGTCGGCTGCTTGCTGTTGATCGGTTTGAGAATCTCCGCTGTTTTCTGGAATGTCGGCTGCTTGCTGTTGATCGGTTTGAGAGTCTCCGCTGTTTTCTGGGATGTCGGCTGCTTGCTGTTGATCGGTTTGAGAGTCTCCGCTGTTTTCTGGGATGTCGGCTGCTTGCTGTTGATCGGTTTGAGAGTCTCCGCTGTTTTCTGGGATGTCGGCTGCTTGCTGTTGATCGGTTTGAGAGTCTCCGCTGTTTTCTGGGATGTCGGTTGCTTGCTGTTGCTGCTGCTGCTGCTGCTCTTCATTTGTAATTGCTTGTGGAATTTCTTGTTGACTACCATTGTTTTCAGGCTCTTCCGGAAGCTGTTCTTGTGGTTGTTCTTGAGGATTAATCTCGAGCGATGCTTCATTCGATTTATTATTATCAGATTCCACAGTCTCCGTGGATTCATTGCTTTGATCAGATGAATTAGCGTTTTGTTCTTGGCTCCCTCCCAAGTCTACCTTCTCCTCTACTACTTTTTGGCTCTCAGCCACTTGTTGGTTCTGAGTCATTGCACTCTCCTCCGACAATTGAGCCTCATTTCCGCCACCCCCGTCTTGGTCTCTAGATTCCTGCTCGTCACTGGCATTGTCCTTTGATCGGTCATCGATAATATTACTATCATTACTATCATCGGATTTAATAGCATCAAGAGGGAGATCACCAGGATTATCCTCGAACACCGCGGAGGCCTCCTTATCCTCTGATCTGGGTAGTTGGAGATTGTCCATGGTGGTAGTAGCTGTGGAGGTATCGGAAGAAGTTCGAGTGGTGGTCTGCGGAGGTACAACAGAGCTGGAGGTGAGCATCCATATTCCGAGAACACATAAGGCTAAGAAGATGAGGGTTGTAACAGTGGAAGCATAGGAAGAAGAGGAGGATCTCTTGCTACTGCGGGGCCTTCCAAGCGCCATTAGGAGAAGAACCAAAAGTGAAAAATGGAGGAATTTGGAAGCTTGGATGGTTTTGGGTGTGGGTGGTGAGTGAGTAGAAATAGTACAGGTCGAGATGGTAAGAGAGAGAGAAGAAGTGGAAATTGTGGAAGAGAGACAAACATGTTGTTTCCAAATTTGGAAGGTTCCCAAGGAGAGAAGATCCAAACTACTCGGAGTAACTAATTTGGCCATAATTTTTTTTTTTTTTCCACGTTCCTTTTTTGCATGGGATTGCATGCACCACTCTCTCTCTCCCTCCCTCTCTCGCTCGCCAGCTTTTTTCTTTTTCTTTTATTATTTTTATTTTTATTTCTTTAAATCATTCTGAGCCTGGAACCCAGGTGGGCCGTGGGCCGAACCAGTAAAATAAGAGAAAGGCCCAATAGAATTAAAAAAAAAAAAAAAAAGGAAGTTGGTGAAAGTGACGATCAAACACTGTGAAAGGGAAGAAAAATAGGATCTAAGGCTGTGGTTGGGGATGGAATGGGCCATGGGGTTGCCCCAGCAAGAAGCAAATCTAATCTTCAGTCAACAATGGGATCTTGGCTAACTCATTCACTCATGTCCTTATCCAGTGGCCCGCTCGCACTCATGTCCTTATCCAATGGCCCGCTCGCCCTTCACCCATTCTCACTCGAAAACCCTCCACCAATTATTCAATGTGACCATCGCTCAAACGGCAGGAGAACAGTTTCTTAATGATTATTAGATATAGATTTAAAAATATATCTCTCTTTTAAATAAATTGTTGTAACTTAGATCTAAAAATATGTTATGGCATGAATTGATATGCTATAAAGTGGGTTTTTTTCTTACATCATGTGAAGTGACTTATTATGAGTGTGATTCAAATGTGTGGCCCAATGAAAGATGGTGAAATGTGTGTATGAGGGAGGTGGGTTGTCAAATCAACGACCAATTTTAAATGATGAATGTTCCCAAAGGTTATGTTCTTCGCCGAAAACCTTGCCTTCTCTTTGGGTTCCACTTTATGAATTATATTAAATTTTTATTTATTTATTTTTAATTCAACAGCCTCTCACGGTCTTTTAAATATTACATTTCTTTAAACTCAGAAATTTAATTCAGTTGCTTGAACTTTGACTAAATATGATTTAAAATATTAAAATAATAATTTAATTAGGAAACTGTGAAGAAGAAGAAGAGGAAGGGCAATGATTTAAGGGTTGGGTGTCGAGTAATCCATAGGTTAATAATTTGGTACAAAGCTCGATGAGTGAATTGCCTTAATTACCCTACTTATAGTATGATTATCATAAATCTAATTTAAATTGGTTGCTTTAAACCCTAAACCCGATTATTTTTCATATGTTTTAGCTGCATTTTATTTTAAATTTCATCATGTTCTATTTCATTTACGGGTTCAAATTGGACTAATTTCAAATTCCGAATTAGTTGGGTTAGCTACTTGGAAATTCATTTCCTAATATATAATTTTTTTTTAAATTTAATTAAATCCGCTCCAATCAATTTAAATTTTGAAATATAATATTTTAATGTTGAATATTTATCATGATGATTCTAGTATGTCTTGTCGAGTCAACTTGAATCGATGTTACATGACTAATTAAGACTCTTATAATTCTATAAAAAGTCAAATGTCTCATTAACTTAATGTAATTATTCATCTCTGGATGAATGTGACTAAGCAATTCTAAATTGTTATTATACATCAGTTTAATTATGTCTAAATAAAATAATTATAAAAAAAAATAAGAATAACCAAAACAAAATAGATGAGTCAAATTTATTAAATGAGAAATTATCTATTCATTACATAATTTTTTCTCCTATTTTTTCTTCCATAATTTTTAATTTTTTTATTAAGATAATAATTTAATAATAGTTCTTAATCAAAATTATAATATAATTTATAAAAAATTATATGTCAATATTATTGTATAATCTTCCTACTTTTGACAAGATTTAGATGTAAGTTGCCGTGTTTCTGACTCAATCTTAAAAAAAATCTATTGTCTCTTTCATTCTCCATTTAAACAGGATCCTCGCTTCATTTAAATTATGCGGGTCCAAACTCTTATTTTATGAACTAAACCGACATGTTTGAGTGTAACGGGTTTTAATTTATCCGACCCAAACCTCCAACACACATGTTACTCTCTTAGTATGGCCCCCAACATTATTTTCTCTTTTTTTATATATAATTTTGTTGTTAAGGTGAAATAATAAATGGGGAATTAATTAAAAAAATAATAATAAAAAAAGAGGATCAGGCGGAAGCGAAAAGGTACGAGGAGAAGTGGGTGTGTGTGTGGTTGTAGAGCCACGCCATCACAAGCACTAAATAAATATTCATATAATATCTAATTATTTCTTTTTTAATTTTTAATCCTATCTGCCCAAAATCCCCCATTATTTCATTATTATATAAAATTACTTAAAAAAAAAATATTCCAATCATTTTCTTTCATTATAAATAAAAATAAATCAATCTAAAAAAAATAGTCAAACCCGATCGAGTTCAGCAACTTAACCAGGTTCATTAGCTCGATCAAAACCAATTCAACTGATTTATCGTAACTCTTACCAATGACATAAAACTCACGAGCCATCAATATTCTTCTTCCAAGTACGTTGTAATTAATTTAATATTTAATAAATGTAAACCAATAAATAAATAATGAAAATAAATTGTAAAAAATAGAATTTAAATTAGAGAAAAATAAAATGAGAGACAAGTAGCGGGGTTTCCGCAAAAGGAAGGAAGGGGGGCAAAAGCTGGTGGGTCGACATGTGGGCGACGGACAGCCGTTGGATCAAGATGATGAGATCTTGAACCAACGACGAGAAGAACAATAAGAAGAAGAAGAACAGAATTGGGAGTGTTGTTTGGAAGAGAGAGTGGAAAAAGGGTCATTACTGCAGCAGATTCAGAAACAGAGATTAAGTGGGGCGGAGAAAGGCATGGCGGCGCTGCAGACAGAGCTGTTATTCTCCGCCATAAATGCCACTCTCAGACACAAAGGAGACCAGAAATTCAAAGCGTGATTAACTCTCAGCCACCACCAGCTACCAATTTCTTTCTTCTTTCAATTGATCACCCAGGGGTTGGACCCTCTGATTATGGATATTAGGTCACCTTCAGGTTCTTCTGGCTCAGAGCAACAATGTCAATGTCTGGTTTCTTCACTCTAGGCTCCACCGACCAAGAACACCAACAAACCGACACGAATCGCCCAAACCAAACACTCCCCCCGGACACCTTGTTTTGGTACAAGCCCGGAAGCGTCGAGCTATGGCAGCCCCAACAGCACCAACAGCACCAACAACAATCGCTATTTCAAACGCGGTCTCATAACAACAACAACAACAACAACAACAATCTGTACTCGGATGAATCCTCGTCCAGATCCGGTAATTTAATGATGATTAGCTCCGGATCAGGCGGAGGGGGAATCAGCTGCCAAGACTGCGGCAACCAAGCCAAAAGAGACTGTACTCATATGCGATGCAGGAGTTGCTGCAACACCCGAGGCTTCCCTTGCCAGACCCATGTCAAAAGCACTTGGGTCCCTGCCGCCAAGCGCCGTCAGCGCCAACAAAAACTCGCCGCCTTACAAACCCATCCCAAACGCCACACAGATAACATTCCCACCACCAACACTTCTGGTACAATTACTTTTTCTTTTCTTTTTTTTTTTCCTCACCAATTTATACATATTATAATTTTTTTAATTTGAAGTTACTTTGAATTTAGGGTTAGAAATTGGGAATTTCCCAGCGGAATTGAACTCCCCGGCTGTATTCCGTTGCGTTCGTCTCAGCTCCACCGACGACACCGACGATCAATACGCATATCAAACGGCGGTGAACATCGGAGGACATGTTTTCAAGGGAATTCTATACGATCAAGGACCCGAAAATAATTATGTTCCTGGTGAGACCTCGTCCAGCGGCGGCGGTGGGTTGCAACCACTGAATTTCATCGCCGGTGCCGCCGATGCCAACGCTGCTTCCTCCGCCGCATTACCCTTACTCGATCCCTCTTCCTTATACTCAGCGCCGCTCAATAGCTTCATGGCGGGTACGCAATTCTTCCTACCACCAAGATCCTAAAAAAAAAAATCTCATATTTTCATTTTCACTTTTTTTTGTTTTTTGTTTTTTTTTTTTCATTTCCGTTGATTATTTCTGCATATCCTGAAAATTTGTAGTGAAAAAAAGAAAACCCTTCACAAAATCGGGGAATAATGTGGAAATGTTTATTTGTTTACATTAAATTAAAGGTTTGGGTTCAAATTTCAATGCGTAGTTTGGAACATACAAAATTATTGTTGTTGAAATCCAAAGCCGTTTTTGTGTACGACATGTTCGTGGTTGCGTAGAGTCTTGTGCTGTTGCTGTTATGTGTTTTTAGTTTTCATTATTATTATCATAAATAAATAAAATATGCATTTTCTTCTTTTATATTTGGATAAACCAACAACCTAAGACGACAACAATGTTATGCATAAATTAATTTTGTAGAATTAAACTTCAAAAACCCAACATTTAAATCTCTCTATTTCTCATATTATATGCTTCAAACCTTAAACAATTTGTTATGTTTTTTTTGCATGTTGTTTACTCTGTGGAGCTCTCAGCTTCAACTTCATCTTCTTCCTTCTTTATTCTCGATCTTGTGTTTGCATGTCTAAATATCATCATTTATGAAAATATATCTAAATGGTGGTAAATGGAAAGAGCAATAAATGGATATAAAATATTTGATTATAATAAAAATAAAAAACCACAAGATATTTGTGTATAATAAAGAGTCAAATATGATAAGAATGGTAAACTATAATTGAGGCTAAATAGCTTTAAATTTCTCATTCGAGTTTCATCAAATGACATTAGGTTTTTTTTGTTGGAATTGTTTGTCTCGTGGGCGTATGAAGATTATGAACCCCCGACCCGCCCAAGAAGAAGATGGTGAGTAAGATTCGAAATTTGAA